TGACCTCTACAATTGGTAAATATGGCATCGGAGACCAGTGAACCAATGGGAAACGCCTTCTTCGTCATGCCGAAGAGCATGAACTTTTTATTATAAATACTTGCTTCCGCCATCGTGGGAAACATCTAGTCACGTGGAATTCCCCGGATAACGAACATTTCAACCAGATTGATTATATCTTAGTCGGTCACCGTTGGAAAAGTTCCGTACCAGATAGTCGCGGAACTGAAAAGGGCAATCTTCATGGATCTGACCATGTTATGGTTCCAGCCAAGATCCGCATAAAACTGACAACTCGCAAAAAAACGGTAGAGATCCTTAAACTATCCTCCCAGAGATCCTTAAACTATCTCAAAAAATTCGGGGGCTAGTGAACACATTTCAAACTGTATTGAAGCATCTCAGTGATACCAATGATTTTTCTGGAACGGAAAATCAATATTGGTCCAAACTAAAGGAATGTCTCCGAAAACCAGCCATTTCCACGCTAGGGCATACTAGTAGGAAGTGTGCTAGTTGGGTATCGGAAACAACTGTCCAACTGTCTGAAAAAGGTGCCAAAGCACGAATGTCAGATAATACTGACTACCGGATGCTTCGAAGATTTGCAACGAAAGCAGCAAGGCGGAAGAGAAATCATTGTTGGAGTGACATGGCCTTAAGAATGGAGACGGTGACTCGATTAGGCGATAATAGGAAACTATTCCGCCTTTTTCATAAAGCAACTATAATTCGAGGAATGATTAGTCAAATGGTAAGGGACAGCAATGGCATGCCAGCCAAGAGTATTAAGGACCACCTCATAAGATGGAAAGAATTCTTTGAGGCCAAACTTAACCATGAAGCGCCATCTGTTGCCCCTGATATAACTGATACGTTCGCTGAACCATATGTTTGCAATTGCGAGCCCCCGACAAAAGAAGAACTAATATCTGTTATCTATAAGCTCAAGGCCAATAAGTCTCCGAGAGAAGATGGTCCTCGGGCTGAACTGTTTAAATGTTGTCTATCGCCTTTCATAACACCTTCAATAAATGTATTCTCTTATGGGAAAAAGAAATACCAGATGAATGAAGCAAAGCAATTCTGCTCCCAATTCTCAAAAAAAATGATAGGACATATTGCGATAATTATCGAAGAATCGGCCTACTAGACGTCTCAGCGAAAATTTTTTCTTCCCTTTTACTCAACAGACTTATGGAAATGCGAAATAGCAGTGTACGCCTTAATCAAGCTGGATTCAGAGCGGGGCTCTGTTGTCCTGAGCAGATATCCACGTTAAGAATGGTGTTGGAGCACTGTCGCTTCAGATATTTGTAACCCACCGTTACTTGTTTCATCGATTTTGCGGTTGCTTTTGATTCAATTGATAAAGCGCCGCTTTAGAGGGTGATGGAATGCGACGGTGTTCCAGAGAAGATCATTTGACATTTTATAAGTGCATCTCTGTGGAGGTCTGTTTGTATGAGAAACTGACATATTCCTTCGAGAACTAGAGTCCATCAAGGTTGTGTCCTTTCCTCTACAATATTCAACTATGATAGAGTGGATAATGGACATAGCTTGTCGGAACTCAAGAGGTGTCCAAATCAATCCAGAGCATCGTGTCACAGATCTAGAATACGCTGATGATGTAGTCCTTTTTGCTGACAGTTATAATGAAATGAAAGTAACGCTAAGTAACGTGTCAGAAATTGAAGCAAGAATAGGACTCAGGGTCATATAATATATACATGTACAAGAAGCTGATAAAATGCCTCTTTTTTGTAAATTCATTGTACGATTTTAAATAGCTTGCACCCACTCTAATAGCAAATAACCAGTCAAAAGACGATATTATGAGCCGGATCACGGCAGCTAGAAATGCGTTCTTCCGCTTGACGAAACCTTTATGAAGCCATCATGAAATTAAAACAAAAGTCGGCATCTATATAGCCGTGATTCGTTCGATCTTCCTATATGGTTTTGAGATATGAGAAATGAGAGTGGAGAATATTAAGAAGCTATCTACCTTTGATCACTCATATCTAAGGTAAATTCTACGGATCCACCGAGCAGATAAAATCGCACATCCACCTTCTTCCAAACACCACTTGCATAAATAATGTTATCACAGAGCGTCGTCTTCGGTGGTTAGGGCACGTTCTCCGTCGTCCATCATAAGAGTTGTCGCATATTTCGTTACTTGCTAAACCGTGTGATGAAAACGTCAAAAGCGAGGAAGGCCAGTCAAGACCTGGGCTGATACAATCAGGAAAGATTTTGAATGCATAGGTGAACCAGCAATATATGGACTTAGACGATGGAAAAAAAAATGGCTTCTATAACTGTCGACGATGGCATCAGACCGCGCCGTTTGAAAGCGTCTTATCTTTGTAGCCGTTGGAACTAGCCTAAAAAATAATGGTGAGAGCTGTTAAAAGAAAAAGAAGAAAGATCGTTAATTGGAAAGAATGCATTTTCTTGGCATTTTTGCTTAATGCAATCAATTTGATTTCTTTTACAAGTTTATTTGTCAAAAATGAAAAAAAAAGTATAGCAGGCTTAAGGATCCCATAGGCGAATTCACCTACTTCGATAGTAACAAATAGGCGGTGTGGCTAACAGGCAATGGTTCGAGTTATTAGGTGAAATATTGTTCAGTGATCTTTACCAGGATTTTTTAAATCCTTTTAGATTTATTATCCAGAAAGAAAATTTTATCATTTTATTAGAACTGTAAAAATGCGAACGAATTGCATTATGTGGATGTTATGCTACAATAATAACTACAATAATTGCAATAATTAGTCCCTATGAAGGTAGCCTCTCGAAAAAATAATATTCTTCTATTAAATAAGAAATGGACTATCATAAACTGCGGCTCCTGTCATCACTCCTCCCTTATCAGTATTTTCGCTCTTATTTCGAAGTAGATGGCCATGGTTGTAATTTTTTAATACGATTTTGTCATTGCTTGAAAATGAGCCATTGCCATACAAATAGCCTTACGTGCCAAGTTCGCTAATTATATAAATCAATTTTGCGGGTTTCAAAGGCCGAATTATGTAATTCTGCAATTGAATTTAATGTTGCTAATAACGAGTTAGGATTATATAGGCCCAAATTTAAAGAACTGGCACCTTTTAATTGGATTTATATTTAACAGAAATTCACACCTTTACTGATTCAGGATAAATAGGTTCCATTAAAATATGTGCTTTTTCTTCATCATTCATAATTTCTAATTTTTCGGTTATTTCTGAGCCATAATAATTTCCAGCACCTCCTTCTAATAGTTGACACATATCGATGTGGGTTCATCATTGCATCCTAAGTTTTTCTAAATTTTATTTTTTTTTTTGTTATTTTCCTCGAGGATATTTGAAAATGGAGTTTTTTTTTAAATTTTTATTTTTAAATTTTGAGTCTTCTAAACGCTAACTTTAATAATATTGTTCGTTTCATTGTCATTTCCTTCCAGTCCCCATAACCTAGCGAATGTGGCGCGTATCTTTACGCACTTCTCTGGAAATTCCGGTAGAAAACGTTCCACCATTCCTGGACAACATAGCATCTGCAGTTTATAGAAATTGAATGGCAATGAATTTCCTATTGCTTTTCCTGTTTTCTCCGCCTGTATTTTAATCTATTATAGATTGTGATAATAATTGCACTTATGGTTTGGTATGCAGCATTTACGGTTTTTAGTTATAAAGTGCTGTGAAAAATATCATTAATAACAAAAAACACGGAGAAAAATCACTAAGGAAAGATTTCTTCTCTTCATTTCTCTTTATTTCTCTTTTTACTTAAGTATTCATTAAATTTCAAATTTTATATGTAACTATGCTGAAGCTTACAAATTCATATATTTATAGTTTTTTTAAATTTATATTATATGTAATATTAAATATTATTTTAGAAATGAAAAAACATGTTGAACTTTTTTAGTATTTGCTAAATGAAGACCGATAAATGGGCATTTGATCGCATCAGAAAGTTCGATTTTAAGACGAGAATTCCACTCGAATTTAGTTGCATAGTTTTCGGGTGAATAGCCAGTACGAAAATAGACTAACGATATTCTTATTTGGTTATCCATTAATAAAGCGTTATTGTCAGATAGATGAAGTCTGAAAAATTAAGCCTATGTGAATTAACAGCTTTTAATAGCTTTATTACAATATGCAAGCAATTACTATTGTCCTTCGCCATTCTGGACCACAGCAAAACTGATTTTGAATTTTGAGGGTGAAAATATAATTCAAGAAACCTAAGTCCGCATTCTGTTAAAGTTAACCGGAAGTATTTAACACGTCTTTTACTCAGTTCTTCCAAGCGATACTGGATGTGACGTTGTTCCGGTTGGTTTTGCTCTTCATCTTCAATAACGAAGAGTATAACGGCCGATTCGATTCCAAAATCTCGTCTTAATTGAAAAAGCTTTAAAGGCAAATCGATTAAGTTAAAAAAGCTAATAAGGCCAGAAAATTCCAACTGTGTTATTCAAAATGTATACTTCTAATATTAATAACGTTGATTCTAATAGTGGATGAAGAAAATGCCATGAATACTATACTACTAACTTCCTTTTGAAATTAGAAACGAAAAAGCGAAAACATCAATAAGTAGTTCGTTCCAGGAATTTTTAATTTTCCTAACAAAAAAATTATAACTTGAAGTTTTCATTCCATTAATTCTAGTAACGTTGATAAGCAACTTTCTTTGGGACTTTGGATAAACGAAAGAATAGAAAGAAAATCCATTAATGCAGACAATGCTTTCAGTCTATGTATTATTGCCCTATAACAATTTGCCATAAAATTCTCCTTTTTTGAAAGAAATTTATTGAAAAAATACAAAAAATGAAGAAAGCATATACCAAGCATGGTAAAGCGCTTTAGCGATTGTATCAAGTGGTCTATTCAAAGGCAGGAATGATTCAAAGGCATTATTTTAATAACTTTTGTTCCCAAATTTTCCAATACTCTTGTGTAAAATGGTTATTCGTTCTGCGATGGCCGCTCCACTTGCTGCTATATTATTTACTTCAATCTATAAAGCTATAAAGTTATAGGAATTGCAGAAAATAAAACTGCAGTTTTTGTAAGAAATGAAGAACCCACAAAAGTTATTAAAATAATTTTAAAATATTAAATTAAAAATTTCTAATAATTTAAGATTAAATTTTTTTTCTAATTTCTCTTCATAAATTATATGGTAGTAAGAAGAAAAAATTTTTTTATATCAAATTGCTGTCGTTTTCGGATGGAAAAATAAAAGAAATAAAAATTTAAATTCAGAATGAAAAATGCAAAAAAAATCATGCAAATGCGCAAATTTTCGTTCGATAGCTTGATTTAGTAACTTGTTTTAGTTGATAATCTCCTTTCGTAATGCTTCCATCAAATATATAATCCGATCATTGTATAAGTAACGTTTTTGATTGCTTTAAGTCTACTTCATGAATTGCTTTTAAAATATCGATAAGATTCCTAAGAAATCACAATATTTAATATAATTTTGTTTATTCTATATTTGTTCATCAATAAATAAAATTTTAAAAAATTCTAAAATTTTAAAGGCAAAATAGTGGAATAAAATTCTAAATTCTAAAAATTAAAAATATTAAATTTATTAATATAAAAAATTCTAAAAATATAAATGCAATTTTCAATATATGCAAGAAGAAATAAATAAACCTGGTAAACTGATCAGTTTTTACCACATCCTTATGTGATTCAATGAGAAATTCGTAATCCCAGAATATACGAAAATATAATAAATTCATTGCCTAAAATTAATAATAATTTATATGCGCATCAGTGGTCGATGAAGAACGCTAAATTTTATTGTCTCTTATTGTTGATATGACAATATGCAAACATGATGACTTCTCTTTGATATAGTATAATATAATTCACTTTTTCATAGGCAAAATTTCTCAAAATTTATAACTTTCTATCCACTTTTTTTTAAAAGAAACAGGTCAATAACAATATCCTCAAATCTGAATACTAGCGCAGCATGAATTTTTGGGTGAAAAAATCTTACTTCTTGTATTTCCAAAGCTTGTTCGAACAATTTACGTGGAAAGGTGTTGGAAAAAGAGTGAATGGAGCAAATTGACAAATATCACTCGAATTTTTATGAAAATCTGTTCGTATAACCATACCAGTGCCGTTTAAAAATAATATAATGTTAATAATAATAATATTGAATAATAACAATAAAATTAAAAAGTCAACAAACATGGGCCCAATCGATTGCATCGTTTATTAATATCCGAATTTTTTCATTGTTTATTGAATCAATTTTAACAGGATAATTTTCCATTTCTAAATCTGCTAAAAAAAAGGCAATTTTTAGGATAATAATCATCAGGGAATTATTACAAAATAATATCGCATGTTTATTTCCACTTTTTTCCATATTCTTATTTTTTACTTGGACAACAATGATCTTTTATTTATTTATTTAGTACCACAATAAGTAAAAATATAAAGGCAATATAACAGAAATAGCGCACATGAGAGGTACAGTAGAGGGAAAGGAAAAAATTGTAAACTTCTCTTAAAAAATCACTTTTATAGCAAAAATAACGAAGAAACTGATTTTTTCTGAGGAATCACAAAGGACTTTAACAATTGAAAAGTGAATAGTAAATTTCCTCCTATAAGATTCATAAAGCGACAAATATATTGCATTATGTAGAGTTTGCTTTTAAGTAGAAAAACTCTGTTTAGAACCAATGAATCATATAATTTAAGGTATTTTTAAAAGGAATGATAAAAAGTAATATGCATGATTTACTTGAGGGGAAAATTACAGAGCAGTCTTTGCCCAAAGGCTTGGGAAGATTTTCGAATAGAATGTTACGAGTTTTTAGACAATGTTAGTGGTTTACAGCGACTGTGAAGTGATGGAGATAACATAGAATCACACATTTAAGGAAAAAATGGATCCTTGGCAATGCAGCGGATTTGAGGCAATAAAAAAGATTAAGAGGGTTTTTGAGGAATCCTTCATTAACCGGACTGAGTTGAAAAAAAATAGAGCGGGACATCAGGAAAAATGACATTTGGAAATATTCTCAACAAAAATATCAGATTTTGGGCTATAACAGAGTGTAAGAAAAAGAGTATAAACAGTCGGCTTTTTAGATAGGATGAGGGGATGATTGTAGAGCCAAAAGTGGGCTTGCAAATTCCCATAGTTTGCATTGTATAAGTGCTTTTGGTTACATGTTTTCGTTATTTTTTTAAAGATATGGAACGGTTTGTTAGGATGGGAGAGGAAGAAGATTTTTGAAGAGCGAAACCAACTATAGGACTATATAGCAATATCTTATTTTTGGAGAGCACTTATCACTCGCCCGACTAGCTTGTTGGGCTAGATAAATATGCCACGAAGTCCCTTGGAGATAAATGGTGAGTCGCCAGCATCACCTGATTTTTGGACAAGCATAATTCTGTCGCGACTAGAACCTCAACACAGGCTCAATGATCCATTAATCATGATCCAATCTACCCTCCCTTTCTTACTTCATATCCGACATTGCTTCCTGAAGCGTCGAACGGATATGAGCCCAAGACTAGATTTTCCGCGGTAATTGCCACTAAACTACGAAGGCACCAATTAGTTCTGATAATAAGATAGACATGGTTAGGAATTATAGTTCAAAATGAGTCATTTTTTACAGGAAGGGTGACAAGAAAATTACAGCTTCATTTACATTTCAAGTTAATTCTTCCAAAAACACTATGCTATGCTATGAATGAAATACAAGTATCTGCTGGGAGTATTACTTTTTGTTATCTTTATGCCCATGTACTCCCATGGTGAAAAAGTATAATTCTCAAACAGCGTCAGCACTATGGTATCAGTCAGCATTACATGGGATAAATGTACGAACTGATTCTGACGAAAGTCTAAAATCTAAGGAGACGAAAGTCTGGAAGTCCGTCAAATGTTTGCTCTGTGAACCACGCGGCCAGATCTTGATTATCGCTGCATAAAGCGTTCAGAACATTTAGGAATATAATGAGTTTCTTTTTCTAACAGTTCTCACCATAAGTGGTTAGGCTGGCCGCGCTGGCTGCAAGGGTAAGATAAGACATCTCCAAGCTGTTCGGTCCGGCGCCATTGCTAGTAGTAATAAAAGCCATTCCTTTTTTCATCGTCTAAGTCCATGTATCGCTGGTCCCTCTATACGTTCAAAATCTTCCTAGACTCTATCAGTCCAGGTCTTGATTGGCCTTACTCGCTTTTGACGCCACCCATCACACGGTTCAGCAAGTAACGAAATATGTGTCAATTCCTCTGGTGGACGACGGAGAACGTGCTCTAACCACCGAAGGCGACGCTCTGTGATTACATTATTAATGCAAGTGGTATTTGAACGAAGGTGGATGCGATCATGTGATAATTATCCGCCCGACAATCAGTAAAATGTAAGACTTTTGTTTTTATGGTAATTTTACGACGACTCCATAGGTTTCCAAAAGAAAGTATTTCTAGGTGCCATGATCCGGGCTATAATATCGTCTTTTGATTGGCCATTTGATATTAGAGTGGACCCAAGGTATTTAAAATCGGGCACTTCCTCGACCGGCAACGAATTTACAAAAAAGGCATTTTATCAGGTTATTGTACATAAGACGAAAACATTTTCGTTTTGCGTACATTGACTCTGAGTTCGATTCTTGCTGTTTCTGACACGTTATTTAGCATTACTTGCATTTCGTCATAAATGTCAGCAAAAAGGACTGCGTCATCAGCGTATTCAAGATTTATTCAAGATTCAAGATATTCAAGATTTATGATACTATACTCTGGATGATTTTGACACCTTTTGAGTGCCGACAAGCGGTGTCCTTCACCGCCAGTCTATCGCATAGTTGAATATTGTAGGGAAAAGGACACAACCTTGACGGACTCCAGTTCTCGAAGGAATCTGTCACTTTCTCACACAAATAGACCTCCACAGAGATGCACTTATAAAATGTCAGATGATCTTCTCTGGAACACCGTCGCGTTCCATCATCCTCCAAAGCGGCGCTTTATCAATTGAATCAAAAGCAACCGCAAAATCGATGAAACAAGTAACGGTGGGTTACAAATATCTGAAGCGACAGTGCTCCAACACCATTCTTAACGTGGATATCTGCTCAGGACAACAGAGCCCCGCTCTGAATCCAGCTTGATTAAGGCGTACACTGCTATTTCGCATTTCCATAAGTCTGTTGAGTAAAAGGGAAGCAAAAATTTTTCGCTGAGACGTCTAGTAGGCCGATCCTTCGATAATTATCGCAATATGTCCTATCATTTTTCTTGAGAATTGGGAGCAGAATTGCTTTGCTCCATTCATCTGGTATTTCTTTTTCCCATACATAGAATACATTTATTGAAGGTGCGTTATGAAGGACAATAGACAATATTTAAAGAATTCAGCCCGAAGAAAATTTTCTCCAGGAGTCTTATTGGCCTTAAGCTTATGGATAAAAGATATTGTTTCTTCTTCTGTCGGGGGCCCGCAGTTGCAAGCATATGCTTCGGCAAACATATCAGCTATATCAGAGGCTACAGATGGTGCTTAATGGTTAAATTTGGCCTTAAAGAATTCTTTTCATCTTATGAGTCCTTAATACTCTTCGTACGCCACTGCTGCTTTTTACCATTTCACTGATCCTTCCACGAATCACAATTGCTTTATGAAGATTTAAGATATTAATATTTATGAAGAAGGCGGAATTTCCTATTATCGAATCTCCATTCACAAGGCCTAATCGAATCTCCATTCACAAGGCCATGTCACTCCAATAGTGATTTCTATCTCGCGCCTTGCTGCTTTCGTTGTAAATCTTCAAAGCATCCGATAGTCAAGATTACTAGACATTCGTGCTGTGGCAGTTTTTTCAGACAGTTGGACAGTTGCTTCCGATACCCAACTAGCGCACCTCTTACTAGTATGCCCTAGCGTGGAAGTGGCTTTCGGAGACATTTTTTTAGTTTGGATTAATTTGCCGTTCCAGAAAAGTCATTGATATTTGTATCACTGTGATGCTTCAACAATTCGGTTTGAAAAGCGCACACTGTCCTCGAATTGTTTAGTATGAAATAGTTGAAGGAAATGGATTTCTAGGGAAATTTTCTGCGAGTTGTCAGTTTTATGCGGATCTTAGCTTGAACAATAACATGGTCCATGAAGATTGCCGTTTCAGCGCCGCCTAGTACAGAACTCTTCCAACAATGACTGACTAAGATATAATCAATCTGGTTAAAGTGTTGGTTATCTGGGGAATTCCGGGTGGCTAGATGTCTTCTATGATGCCGAAAGCATGTATCAATAATAAAAAGTTCATGCTCTCGTATTCTTAAAATTACGAAGAAGGCGTTTCCCATTGGCGCACCGATGCCATATTTGCTAATTGTCGAAGTCATCGCAGTGGCACGCACTCCACTCTTCCCCGATTATGACCAATAGCAGTTAAAGTTCCGCATAAAACTTAACGGTCATAGGCCATATGGTCGCTTGCCGGTTTCCACTCAATCAAATCGGAATGGGTCTTGTCAGATAAGATAATCGCTACGCCATTCCACCCCGAGTTATCCGAAGCATCACAGTGATATAACCAGTATCTCTGCTGCAAGCCAGGATAAATAATCACTTGAGACTCAAAATAAGGAAGAAGGGCCTCCGACAAGCAAGTGATATCCACACGATATTTAGAAAGGGTGTGGACAGTGACCGCTTGGCTTGCAACATCCATTAGCTTTCTGAGTTCCATCCTGATACGGCTAATATCTCACAGCGTAGAGAGCTGCTCCCCTTGATAGGTTTCGAGCAATTACTCTGGCTTGCGTGCACATTTTATTTACAAGCCTTATGATCACTTTACGCCCCTATTATATACTTATCGAATGTACCACCGGGCTACGAGCATCATGTGCGTCGGAAGACGTGTACGCCGTATCAAGAATATCTGACCCTTTCGCCATAGAGTCACTTGGGCATAGAGTTACGGGTTAGAGTTACTCAATGGTTTAGTAAGGAAACATTATTAATCCAGGAATGAGCATAATAATGAAAAAAATTCAAAAAATTATTCATTCAAATCTCTTAATCTCTCTTAAAGTTTCATATTTTCGCATATTTTAATTAATTTATTTCATTTTATGTTTTGTTTAGAAATGGATCCATTTCTTTTTTCTGTCGATTTCCTGTAGCGTATATGGTAAGGCGCATTTTAATTTTCGCAATTATAACTGAACCGCGCTTGCGGATCATTAAGATAGCTGATGACTATACCTTTCATTTGTTCTCTAAAAAAATCTTCGAGATCCACAGAGATCATAAAATCACTTTTAAAATTCCTTAAAATTTAAAATTTATGAAACTGAAAAAAACTCAAGGCTCACAGCCACCTGAAATATTAAGAAATAAATTGTTTTGCTTCAGATTTGAGGCCAATGAATTTGAACAAAACCAAGGATAACCTAAAATGGGTGAATCATTTAATTTGTTATATAATAATTGTAAATAATATATGAAAAAATAAACCATCCTTTAGTAACCTTTCTTAAAAATTTCACAAAAAATCATACAGAAGTACGACATTATAACTGAAACCTCTGATTCCTTTTCTGCACATTTCATATTTCGCATTGGGACTCGTAAAACTGAATAGTACAAATAAGAGAATGTTAGTTTTTTCACTGAAACCTTTTATTTAATAGAATATGTAAGAAATTTTTAAACCGAATAGTGCAATGAACTTTTACAAGGATGTGAAGGTTTTTTGAATTTTTTCTGGTGAACTTGAAACTGGATTCGATATTCAAAATCATTAAATTGAACATCGATCAGTCAGTCAACAATTTCTGTTTTTCATTAGCAAAAATGAGATTTTAGTCTTAATTAATTAATTTATTATAAATAAATTGATTTAATGCATTCATTTTTTTGTTAATGTATTCATTATATATTTTGGAAACCGGTTTTAAGCACATTTATTTAGGGCATTTAATATGTTTTTTTTCCAAATAGATTCGACATTAGAAACCAGTTCGAAGCCAAATTTTCGTATTACTTATATAAATCAGCGATTTGAAAATATTTCCAAGTGTTACTGGATCAAGATAAAGTGCGAATATCAGTGAGCATTTTTAAGGATTTTTCCATATCTTATTATATTAGAATATCCAAGAGAATATTTATCAGAATTTATGAGTGCAATTTTCTACAACTTCTTAGTTTTCGGCGATTCGGAACAAGCGAATTTATTGATAAAAACAAAATATCAGAAGAAAGGATTCATGGGCAAAATTTATTCCACTTAAGATGATATGCAATAATGTGAAAAAAGTTATATTGAATCACTGAGTTACTCCTGGTTGAATATTGATATATTGAAATGAGCACTGGTACTGCAGCATTATAAGTTTGTTCGCAAATAATTTGACTTACAGCTAATATTCAAATGAAGAAAGTTTATTAAGTTAAGCATTATAATTTTTTTAAAATTTGAATTAAATTTAAAAAAAAATTTAATTTAATTAAATATAATCGCTCGCAATATATTTTTAATTTAAATACGCTAATCTTAAACGAAAATATCACTGAAATGATAATATGATTTTTATCATCATTTACTGTAGACCTTCTCCACTGCTACTTTGGTTATCTCCAGTGACGACAAGGATATGACGAAGCTTGCCAAGCGATGCCATACCTTGGAGTAAACCAGTCACCATTTTCGTCGTATAAGCCCATATATCGTTGGATCATCTATACCTTCAAAATCTTCCCTAATCGCATCATTGGTCCACCCCTTTTGGTGCCATTCATCATCACAGGACTTAACAACTAGAAAAATGCGCATTAATTCCTGTGATGGGCTATGAAAAGGAGAACCAAGACCATCTTAGATGGCTCTTTGTGATATTTTGATATTATTATTAAATGCAAAAAGATGAGTATGAGCGATATTGCTTCAAAGTATTCGAATTCTTAAAGCTCATTAAAAATTTGGCAAATTAATTAGAATCGCGACTAGTTCTTCGCTAATAATGGAAAAAAAAACTATGCGATGATATATGATGAAGACCTGTTGATTAAAATCTGTTGGCCAAATCTTCATTATTGTATTTCAGTCAGAAGCGAAAGCTAGAGAATTCATAACGGATTAATTGAGCTAATTCGATTAAATATTGAACAAGAATTTCTCGGTGACATTTCTCTATAAGTCTTCATTAAAGATATTTCTTTTTTTATTTAATATTACTTAATATCATTTAATTTTATTCATTTTGTTATTTATCATTCGAATTTTTTTATTCAAACAATATTTTATTATGATATTATTACAATAAAAACACTCGAAATCTCTTATACATTAACACTTAGATTTTTTTCGCTGATTGCATTTGCAATCAGTTGCTTATCACTAGTTCACACGTTTCTTAATCTGTTATCATTTACAACGATTTTCGATAAAAATTTCATTTCAAAAAGAGAAAAGAAGGTGCAATGCGAAACAATTCATTCAAGAGAAAAAACACTGGGATTAAAAGGACAAATTTGATTAATAATAAGAATAATAAAAGAATCGATAGTTTCTTCGAAATACAACAACGTTCAAACCTATCAAATCAATTTCCGTACAAAAAAAACAAAAAACAAAATTTGATTTTAATACGATGAATTGTGTGATTGTTTTTTCTTTTTTGTAGGAGCATTCACCATTTCTAGTTCGCTCGCTCTTCTGATGCATCAACTAGAGAATTACGTGGCACGTCGTCAGTACCATACGAATTTTTGAAAAAAAGGATTTGTCTGTCAGACATCAGCATTTTGACCTGAAAACAATCCGTTGGGCCACTCTATCCTCATGCAATTGATAAAAAGAAACTATTATGCAACTCAGAAAATCATAAAAATGAGATAAAAAATCTTTTTGATTGAATATGCAGTGAAAATGGTTCATGGATAAACTTATATTATTTTATCACAGTATGAAAATTTTTAGTTTCTTCCTAAAAGTATAGCAAAATGGGAAAAGTATGTATTAAAATTTTTCTTAATATTCTAGAAATATTTGAGAGCGAAAGAGAATCCTATAGTACAATTCAAAATCCATAAGATATTTACGAGTCGAACACATACGCATCATGAATTTATTTAGCTAATTCCTTCTATTGAAATTCCATTCCATTTCTAGCCAGAAAATTATCATTATCATATTAGCGATAGACGCATTATCATTGTAGAACACAATAAGCTATTGGGGATAGAATGACTCAGTGGGTTGTTGCTCAATTCGGAGAGCCGATGCCGATCTATTTCTCGCAGGAGTAAACGTGAAATCCAGCTGATGCTGGCGACTCACCTGTACTTCTATTCCCAAGGGACTGCTTGACATATTTGTCCAATGTGACAAGCCAGCGAACGAGTTTAACCAGTAATGGCGAAGAATTTTCAAAAAAGAAAAAAACGCAATAAGCTAACAGCATTAATGTCGACTTCATGCCCTTAACACCTTTAAAAGGAAGTACAAAAGGAAACTTTTGCCTAATCTCATATCAAACCATAAATAAATAAAAGCAAAAACTACTTTTATAAAAAAAAAATGGCATATAACAAAATATTAAATGATAAAAAGTCTATTTTATTATTTATATACATAAATTAAATTAAGTGATGGTAAACTGTGATTTTAATCTAATTCACAACAGTAGTTCGTGATAAAGAAATTTCATGATGGTTTACTGGCTGAGGAACTGCCAGGCCTTAATGGAACCAGCGCGATAACTATCAAAACAGTTTATTTGCAAGGCGTGCTATTTTATATCGTTGGAAACATAGCCAATGAGAGCGGAGGATTTAAAATACCTCTTGATATATAAAACAAATTATTTACCTTTTACCACTTATGTCATATTTTTCTCGCATAACACGATTGCGTCCATCACTGGCTCAAATACCGTCTGTATTAATGAATACCATTGCCTATAGTGGTAAGACCATGTTCGTCGTCGCTTATAGCGAGAACTGCATACCTCGATATTTGCTAAGTCGTGTGATGGATAAGGTTAAAACCGCGAATAAGCAATCAAGACTTGGAATGATATAGACAGGAAAGATTTTGAATAACTGATCCAGTGATATATGGGCTTAAGAAAAGAAAAAAGTGATTTCAGTTGCTACCAAGGATGGACAAATAGAACGGCTTGGAAACGTCCTATAGCTTGCTGAGGCAGCCTAAGCAGCAATGACGCGAGCTTTAGAAAAAGATGAAATAGTTTATTATAACTATTCATAGCAGAAAGCAAAAAGAGACAATCTAGATCTAGTGATATTGTTCCATGCTAAGTTGTATAACGCTTTAATGGTGTCACCTCGATCGAAGCAATAGGTTATTGACTTTTTTTCAAAAAAAAGGCTTGAAAGGCTTTCAAAAAAGGTGAAAATAAGATAAAGAATAATTTATTGATAATATCGTTTTCTTTTATATTTATGTTTTTTTCTATTTTTCTGTTTCGCTTTTATATTTAGCATATAATAATCTTATTTATCGAGATCATATCTCAATAGACCAGAACATCGAGACCATAGAGATGGATGTCGAATGACATGTTGGTTCAAGAATCAACCATCATATTTAACCATATGTAACCATCTATAGGAAAATATTTTGATAAATTTTTTTAAATAAACAAAAAATATTCGATTTAGCGATAAATAAAAAAAGTATAACTAAAATTCGAATTCTGATTCTTGGGCAAAAATAAACGTGCCATTAAAGATAAAATCGTGATAGTGGGGAACGGGACCCATCTCCATTCCATCCATCCCAGTGAACTTTACTGGATTTCGTGAAAAAAATCAAAACCAGAAATATATGTTGGAATAATTCTTTCTGACATGACACCTGTTAAATCAGGCGTTCCCCAAGGCAGTTGTATTGCGCCATTGCTATTTCTATTATATAAAAATGATATCACCACAGTGGTAATAAATTCTACTATTTATCTTTATGCTGATGACTGTAAAATTTATTATTCTCATGGTAGAACGGGATAGCCTATCTCCACTGCAGGAGGACCTCAACAGAATAGCTGACTGGCTATACGACAGGCAAATTACCCTTTCCTTTCAAAAATGTAGCGTTCTTCACATCAACTCTAAAGGATTTGATCTTCCTAACCTTTTTATAAATGGTAATTTAATCAATAGAGTCTCACACATCTCCGATCTTGGAATAATCATGGATGAAAATCTCAATTTCGATCTTCACTGCAGATCCATAGTAAAGAAATCCTTAAGGATATTAAATTTTATTTTTCGTTCGTTTAAGAACAAAACTGAAAGTTTTCTTATCAAATTATACAAAGCATTCGTTCAGCCTCTTCTTAACTACAATAATATATGTTACTCCCTTAGACATCGCAAAACAGGTAAAATAATTGAAGGACTCCAAAAATATTTTCTAAGACACCTCTCTCCTAATAAAAATTATAATTTTAATTATAAAAGAACACTTCTACAACATAACATGGATTCTCTCTCAGTTCGTAGAATTAAACAAGATTTAATTTACACATATAAGATTCTGTATGGTTATGTTAAACTAGATTGCTCGAATTATTATAACTTTAGACTAAATTTGAATCCAACAAGAACTAATGGCTCAAAATTACTAAAACCTATATGCAGAACTAAACTAAGGACTCATGACTTCTTTATTCGTACTATTAACTACTGGAACAAATTACCGAACGATATAGCTTGTGCGTCATCCTTAGCTGTCTTTAAAAAAAGACTAGATAATATCATTTACGATATTATTTAATAAAAAAAAAAGAGAAGAGTTTACACCAGGCAAAAATTGCAGGAAGTGAGAAATCTCGATTTTATCTTCAGGTTATATATGTTACTTCGAATTGTACTATATTATATTGATCTGTAATTTCCTCTTTAAATTGTTAATTTCTGTCATATTGTTTTATAATTAATTTTGTTTATGTTATATATTTTTTTTTTTTTTGTTGTTTTGTGTTTTTTTTTTCTGTTATCTTAATTGTTATTATTAATACAAGCACATGGCCTTGTCGCCCTGCTTGGTTGGTTATCAATAAATAATAAATAATAATAAATATGTTGTATAGTGAGTGATGCTATAAAATTGCACCAGATTAATGATAAAAGTTACGATTAATATACAAATTACTACTCAAATGCAACTTGGCAAAAATTGGCAAAATTTCTTTCAAACCTTTAAAAAATGGGCCTTCGCGAACAGCATAATGCATAGGTTTAAGCTTAACTTTTCTTTACTTTTTTTTCTTTAAAAAACTGCGATTGCGATTTTATTAATTTGGTTTCTTGAGGAATAGATGTTTTTAACTAAATTGAGAAATCTAAATGATGGACATTCATTCAATTTTCATTAAAGAATTTTTAACTGGTTTTATGAGAAGTTTTCTTTTAGTTATACAGAAAAATTAAATCATAAAATTAAATTAAATCATATTTTTAAAAAAAACATCTTTTAAGGAATCGATTTATATTAGTAAATTTCTTTCATCATTATTATGGTTTTATGAAAGTGCGATAAATAAGTAGCTCACCACCTCCATTTGGATTCGCTCCATTGGCAATTCGCACAATGGAAAATTTGAGATGGCTCTACCATTCCGATTTTTTAATGGTAGAAGCTTATTTTCCTTAGAGATAGAATTCGAAATTTGATGCCCTAATATCTAAGCAACAACCATTCGTCTTGCCTGTCCGTATTAATTCTTTTTAATTTTTATTTATTATTTTTGATTTTTTTTATTGTTGCTTTTATCATATTTTCTTTTTTTTTTTAAATTACTAATATTGACATTGTTGTAAAAAAACACAAAGAGGGAGCAGTTATCACAAATAATCTTGTTTTGAACCGTTAACTCTTTTTTCGCTATAGTATCGTAATAATCCTTCGATGTGCACCTCAAACTTGGATACCTAAACCTTTATTTAGATAAAAATATAACAAAATAACAATATAATTAGATGACAATATAATTATATATATATATATATATATATAAGAAAATGACATAAAAATTATATATATCGCAATATAATATATCCGTATAACAAAATGGCATAAAAATTTCAAGTAAAGAAATAATGTAAAATAGAATTAATAAAATTGTTAACTTACCCTTAACCCACCAATGACCTATCAATATAATCGAATTGAATCGTGCCCAAAAAGGAAAAGAATTGAACGCAAAACCGCAGCTGCAGTTGCAGCCACACTTTGATTGACGCTCAATCGATCAATCGATTCTACTCATTTTTGAGCACAAAATCCTATCGATATTGTCTCAATTAGAAAGTGCCAATTATGACGTGGAGTCAGAAACGCTGTTGGCACTACTGGTGCTACTCGGAAATGAACTTTCCCACCAAATCTGCAGCCAAGTAGTGAATAGCAAGGTTTGACGATAACAACTGGAACTTTCAAAATTGCGACAATTATTGGGGAAATTTAGAATTGTTATTGAAAAGGGAAATAATGATAACATACGACCGATTAAACACAGATTTAAAAAATCAAAGGAATTTGAATTAGAAAAATCTGAAATGAAACCAAAGAAGATTGATTAACCGAAATCAAAGGACAATAGAGACAAATGCCACATATTAGCCTATTTCATAATGAATCTAAAAGCGGCGAGCACAGATAGAAAATGTGTGTTCTGTGAAGAGAAGCACTAGAGTGATGCCTGCGAAACTGTAAAAACTTATCACGATAGGATACATATAGCAAAAAAGAATGGATTATTTTTCAAGTATTTGAACGATTGGCATATAGCAAAGGATTGTAATTAAAAAATGCTTTCATTGCAAAGAAAAGGTTAATACTTATCAACAATGTAAGAATCGAAATTCTCGACCACAACACAATCACATACAATCACAAACTGTACAATCAAAACGAACAACTTAGAGAATAAAATATCATTATTGATGTTGCAAGTCAAAATTCGAAATCCAGATGATTCATGTTCCGAGTATATGAAAACGATATCATTATTTGACACTGGGGCATAACATTCTTACATAATCGAATCTCTGGAAAACAAACTCAATTTGACCCATTACGAAAGAGAAACGATGATGATAAATACGTTTGGAAATTCTAATCCAATTCGACATACCACAAATCAAATGAATTTCGAGATAAGAACAGAAACGAAAGAACCAATTGAGTAAAAGTGATATGCGATAAAAGTTAATACAATCGATTCAACGAGCAAAAATTGCGAAATTCGTTATGCCGAAGAGCATGAACTTTTTATTACTAATACTTGCTTTCGGCATCATAAAAAACATCTAGTCACGTGGAACTCCCCGGATAACCAACACTTCAACCAGATTGATTATATCTTAATCAGTTGCCGTTGGAAGAGTTCCGTACTAGATAGTCGTTCCTATCGCGGAGCTGAAACAGACAATCTTCATGGATCTGACCATGTTATGGTTCTAGCCAAGATCCGCATAAAACTGACAACTCGCAGAAAACAGCATCTCCTGTTGTGACTTTTTCGGGGTTTGTAAGGCTGCCACACCACAACAAAATAATAATTTTTTATTTTTATTGAATATAGGGACAACGGTTTAGGTAAAACGTGAGTTTAAAAAAAAAACTATTTATATTGCAAAAAAAAAGGGAAACCCACTCCCACACAGCGTTTTAAAAGGAAGAAGCAAAGCAAAAATGACCTTTTGATTTTTATAAACAATGATTCATAGTTTCGAGAAAATTCTCGATATTCTCGACATTGTTGTGACCTTTTTATTTTTATAAACAATGATTCATAGTTTCGAGAAAATTCTCGACATTCCCGAGAGGGGAGAAAACTAGCAAGAAGAAGGAATTTGGGTTGATAACTTAAAACATTTTTAATGGTAGTTTTAAATTCCTTTTTGTTGTGTAGGTCTTCCCTTAATAAATTCATAGGGATAGCAACGGTTTTTTGATTTGAATTTCTACTACATTTTGGACATAAAGGAAATAAAATCAATTGACAATTTAATTTAACAATAATTAGCACTATTAACAGAATGAGCACACTAGTTCCACCAATAATCATGCACCAATGTACGGCAAATTCCGAAAGTTCGTTTTGTATCAGTAACGTAGCTTTGCCAATCTCATCATCCAGCTGTTCTGCTAGCTCTTCTCCTTCTTGACTGATTTCTTGCCAGATAGTTTCCATGTTTTGTTGATAAGATACTGGATTGGGTTTTTGTTTGTCAGCCAATATTTCTATTTCCGCATTGGTTCTTTCAATTTCAAATTTGCTTATTATACCAACTTTCAACTCGTGTTTTGTGTGATGTTTCTCAAATTATAAGGAGCAACTAATAAATTGTCATCCACCCTTTTTGCGATGTTGAATGATATTCCAGACCATTTACAGGTTTTTGTTGCTAATGTTCTTGTCGACATTATGGATAGAACTGTTACTAACATACATAACATTGTGAAACTTGACTTACTCCTAAGGCTTATTGGATTTCGTTGTTGTCTTGCCAAACTTCTAGTTCGTCGCGCTATTGGTTCTTCATTTTCGATGGGTTCTTCGTCCTTTGCATTCGTTAATTCAGTTGCAGAATCTTTGGGTTGATCTTCTTGTTCCACTTCCAGAGGATATAACATATTAACTGGTCTATTGAAAAGTTTCCCAAAAGGCAATTCTATCTGAACACTCCTGACATTTCCATCGCTACTCTTGTTAAGTTTATTTATCTTTGCTAGTTTCCACATTCCGCGAGGGATATGTGGTTCATTTACTAGTACGATTTCTCCTAGGGAAGGTGGTCGTATTATTGCACTTCTAGGAGATTTGTGTTTTATTTGTGTACGTTCCCTTAAACTATTTAAGTACTCATCTTTCCAAATTTCCCAAAATACATCAAGAGTTTCAAGAGTTT